TGGGCTCCCAAAGCCCATTCTTGCACTAGAGATAAATACTGCCAGAGGCCCCATAGACTGTCCAAGCCCCCCAACTAACTCCCACTTTCAGGTGTCCTGGTTTGGTATTATGCAGGTTCCCCAGATGTCAGATTGGGGTCCATGAGCTCCCACTTGATCAGGTCAGCTGTTTCTGTGGGTTTCCCCAACATGGTCTTGATCCTTGCTCATCACTCCTTCCTCTCTACAATTGAATTCCAGGAGTTGGGCTCAGTGCTTACCTGTGGATCTCTGCTTCTGCTTCCATCAGCTTTAGGGTGGCATTTAAGGTAGTCATCAATCCCCTTTAGGGGAAGAGCAATTAAGGTAGCCTCTCCCCTATTGCTTAGACTGTTAGTTGGGGTCATCCTTGTGGACTATTAGAGATTTCCCTAGTGCCAGGTTTATCATTAAGCCCATAACAGCTCCCTCTCTAGCTGACCTGAAAAGTTCTACCAGGGAACTCCTACAGCTGGTAACCACCTTCAGTTAAGTGGCAGCATACAAGATTAACTCAAAAAACAAAACAAAACAAACAAACAAAAGAAAAAAACCAGGTGACCTTCTATACATAGACAATATATGTTCTGAGAAAGAAATCAGAGAAATACCACCCTTTGCAATAGCCACAAACAACTTAAAGTTTCTTTGGGTAACTCTAACCAAACAAGTGAAAGTAACTGTATGACAAGAACTTTAAGTTTTTAAAGAAATAAATTAAACAAGATATTAGAAAATGGAAAGATCTCACATGCTCCTAGATAGCTAGTACCAACACAGTAAAAATGATATTTCTATAGCCGCGTAGTAGATGAGTCATTCTTATTATCTCTCTCTATCTCTCTCTCTCTCTCATGTCTTTTTCTGTGTGTATGTGTCTTTCTCACAGAGTCTCTATGTTTGTCTCTGTCTCCCTCTCTCTCCCTTTTCTCTCTCTGTGTCTCTCTCCTTCTCTCTACTCTTCTCTCTCCTGGGAATATTTGGATGTATTAATATCAGTAAAAGGAAATCAAACACCTTTTTCTCTTACATGAATTTGCACCCAGGAGCCTCTTACTTCAAAATCTGTCTCAGGTCAAGTCTCTGGTGCTCTTTAGCAGGGCATCCTGCACCTCAGTTGCAGTCTCCCAACAGTCCACCTTTCTGTCTGCTGACATGTTGCATCACACTATATATCTTACCCTATGATCCTTATATTTTGGGTCTACATGGAAAAAAGAAACCATAGGTCTATGGGCTATGAATCCAGAACGTATCAAATGTTGACAATTTGAAACAGTCAATTAGTCTAAAAGAATACATCCCATGAATATATTTTTTAAATACTGCTAAAACAAGATCTAAAAAGAATAGAAAACAAAGACAATGAATAAACAGCAGCAAATATTGGTACCCACATTCACAATTTCAAACTGAAATTCAATATTTACTGAGTAGGATTCACTTTAAATGCAGAATACAAAGTTGAGTAAATGGCTTAAGGAAGCTTAAGTTTACTCATCTTTCACCATTTTTGCAATACTCAGAGTCCAGAGAAGAGGCTGTGTCTTCATAGTCTGCAGGCTGTGACCTAGGTTTCAACTCTTTAGAGAGGAGGAGGCATCACTTCATAGCCTGCCAGTAATACTAGCAGGCCTAGGATTCCAGGCACAAGCTAAGGGAAAGTTCTCAGACTTGAGATGACCCCAAGTGCTATTGAAACTACATCTGTTATGCACAAATTATACAGAAGAAGGAGAAAGGAGAAAGAGGAGAGGAAGGAGAGGATGAGGAGGAACAAGAGGAGGAGGAGAGACCAGATGATCCCTGGATCATCTGTGCTCGCATTTTTCAGGACCTTTGTGGAGATAGTGACCATCTGACTCAACTGTCAAGGAAGCCACAGTACAAAATGCTTAACTGATATGTCAAGTAAGATTTGGGGAGAAAGCCAGTGGTGATGCCACATGCCTTTAATCACCGCAGTTGAGAGGTAGACACAAGTGGATCTCTGAGTTCGAGACCAGCCTGGTCTACAAAGCTAATTCCAGGACAGCCTCCAAAGCTACACAGAGAAACCCTGTCTCTAAACACAAAAAAAAAAAAAAAAAAAAAAGAAAGAAAGAAAGAAAAAAGGTAAGGTGAATATAACAAAAGGGGCATTATGCCAGGATTTAACCCAGAGTCAAAAGCTTCTACAAACTTGAGAATATATTAACAGAGAGAGTCATAGAAAGGCAGACAGAACATGAGAAAGAGAGAGATGGTGAGGGAGATAGTGAAAGATGCAGGAAGCATCACAGAGAGAATGGGGTACTTTAAAATCAATATATAGAAAGCAGCTATAAATACAAACAAGGAAAACATGAAGAATTGTGTTCTTATTTACATAATAAAAGTACTGACCGTTTATTTTAGAAACTAAAGACTAGGGACATGCTGAAAAAACTGAATATTTTCTGTAACAAGGAGCCAGATGTTTGCCAATTGGGGAGAGTTGCATAGAGACACATTTCAATTGCTTCTGAATGTTGTAGGGACCATCTTGGAGAATATAGTTGAGAAAGTACTACTGATGATGTCAAAAGCCCTGGTAGAGAACAGAAAGGAAAATAATGTGATTACAAATACAGCCAGTGTGATGACTGTCCTTGCTTGCCAACTTGACTACACCAGGAATTAACTAAAACCCAACCATGGAGGGGCACATCTGTGAGGGATTTTTGTTTAATCTGATGTGGGAAGATCCACTTCTAATTTAGATCTTTGAGGTGAGAAGACACACCTTTAATTCCGGGTTTTTTAAGTGGAAAGACTCACCTCTAGTCAGGCCCACACCTCCTGCTGGAAGCCTATATAAGCACAGGAAAGAAGGAAGCTTGATCTCTTTGCCTGCTTGCTTGTGTTCTCCCTGGCATGCTTGTTCTTCACATTTTGGACCTTGTGTGACAGCCATTGTTGGGGTAGCTACACCACAACATGTAAATCATTCTCATAAATCCCCTTCTTATAAAAATATAGAGAGATTCTGTTAGGTTTTGTTGCTCTAGAAAACCCTGACTAACACAGCCAGTAAATTTAGTAATGCTGTTTTCTCCAGTGTGGTGACATGAAGATAATTAAACTTGAAGGTCTCTTGTTGTTGTGTGTTTGTTTGTTTACATATTTGAGGATCACAAGGAATGGGTAACAGAAGGTAAAAAGTGAACAATTGCCTAACAATTGGTCAAACTGGGAGGAAGGTACTGAAACCAGCAGAAGAATGGTGAAAATTATATTAGAAGTTATATTGAAGTATAATCACATAACAGAATGAGGTAACATGAGTCAATGAGGAAATCTGTATGCTAGCTTTTATCTTCCAATTATTGCCTCACCAAGATATATCCCGTTTCATATGCTATGTTCCCACTGTTGTGTTGGTACTTTTTCATTAGGAGGTGTGGTCTAGGTCTGTTCTCCCTTGGAACTCAGCAAATTTTGCAATTGCCTCTTCCAAAAAAACTATAGTGAATTATGTATCCTGATTCTGGAGGCTATTCACAAGAGTCACTGCTATATTTTGTGTATCGTTGGGATTTTTCCCCTTTGATTTAACTCATGAACTCAAAAAGAGAGGAGATTAATTTTTTATTGTACTAAATTTCCCTTATCAATAAATCACTTGGTGTAATATCGCCATTAGAAGACTTCTGTTATACATAACCTACATACAAACATTATGTGATTTACAACCATGATATAATCAATCCATTTTCAGAGTAATGTCTTATATTAAGTCATTTACTTTAATCTGCAGAGATAATCTCAGTTCATTGGGTCTTAGGAAACAGTATGCATTTTAAAAATAAAATCTGATTTCTCTTCTAATGTAAAATGAACATTAACAGATTGTAATCAAAACAATAAATTATGTGGCAGTGGCAACACAGATGCTCCTCTTTCATTTAATTATCTTTTTCTTTTTTTTTTTAACTTCTCGGCAAAGGTAATACTTTATATTTACTAAACATAGATTAAAAAGGGGATCAGAGTAGTTTGTTTAATTGAAGTTCAGGGAAGTTGTTGATTAAAGTGAGGAATAGCAGCATCCAAGTCTGAACAATGAAGATAAGGTGAATAGTTATCTTCTTGTGGAGAATTTATGCATCACCGAAAGGAGTCATTTTTCACACTGTGGCTGGGTTTTGAAGAAAGGGGGTCATGTCACAGAATCGGCATCATTTTTAGTCCTCTTGTGTAGTGAGGTAGTCCTTCTGTAGCACTGACCACGCCCATTGGGGGGTGGAGCGATGGGCGGAGGTGACCTGAGGAAGGAGGTCGGAGGGGGCGAGGAAGGCGCTCTTTTTTTGGCGTGACTCGGACAGGAGAGGATCGGGTTGAATTTCCTGGTGTTCATCTGTCTAGGTTGTAAGTTATTTCTCCCTGAATAAACATCTATTCGGCCTATTTGTTTATCCTGACCCTTATTTACCGCAATACTCTTGGGGTTTGAAGCTTTTGCAAACAAGAGACATATCCATTTCATATTTGAATGTAATTTGGATTTACAATAATTTTCCTGTTTTGTTTATGCTGTTGCTCCTTTTCTATATCCTGAAATTATAAGAAATTGACTTAATGAGACATATTCATGAATAGGGGACAAACATGGTCAAAAGCCTTGGAAGACTATTACATTCAGGAAGTACAGCTTAGTATTTTAATAAATGTGCAGCGAATGCATCATTTCCCCTGTTACTTGGTTTGTGTGCTTTTGTAGAAACATAATATCCTAATTTCACACATCAAGGAGAACAATTGAATTTTAATATAATTAGGAAAGTTCACAGCCAGCTCAAAACAAATTGATGAGGAAATGGTGACATCAGAAGCTGACTCTGGCGGTGCTATTAGGAAGCGAGAGCAGAAACGGAACCCTTATTCTGTAAGTTTCTGCTGGGAAGATGCTTGGTGTCCTTGCTTCTGCCTTTCTTCCAGGTGAACAACTCAAGTTGTCCAACATGATAGTATTCATTTTCCTGGGTAAGTGAACCGTGGTGCTAGTTCTGAATTTATTGCAGTATTAACTCTTCCTAAACTGAATGCTGTCCCATCTGGCCTAAGCTTATGGGGACATATAGTAAAAAAATGCCAATTATGTTACTAACTTGTACTTTGATGTTATTTCCAGTAATGTACATTTATTTGTAGTCACTTGTTTCTAAGACTACGGATAATACAAAACAGGAGTGTTTCATTACTCATCACATTGCTCCAGCATAACACAACTGGCTTTGTACTATTTACTAACATCTATTGAGTTTTCATATGTGCGAGAATCTTTGAAAAAGATATCTGCCCAATATATACTTACAAGTTAAAGGATGGCAAAATTTTATTTTTCTGTTTAGCTTTGACAGCAGATGAGAGAGGGGGAGGGAAGGAAGGAAGAAGGGAGGTAGAGAGAGAGGGGGAAAAGGGAAGGAAGGAAGTAGGGGAGTGAGATCAACACAAACTGTCCCTCTAGTTTGCCTTAATAATCAGATCCAGCTGAGGAGAGAAAAGCTGCTAAGCTCTGAATTAAAAGCTCTGCCGCTTGAGTGACATTCATGGCCTACAGGTAAAATGTGGGCTCCACTCTCTTGTGTTGGGTCATGATAAGAGGTTAGTCCAAGTAATTTTCTTTAACAAAGAGCCCACAAAAACCTACATGGTAGATATGTGATTTATGAAGGTTAATATTTTCTTCAGGGTATGTAAGCATCTACATATCAGTTTCAGGATGCAGGATAATTGTGGTCATACTGGATATTAATAAACAAGCCAGGATTTTCTTTAGTGTTAGCTATAGTTGTTGATGAATGGGGCTAAATAAGAGCCAGAAAATAATATGGGTTATTCCAAATTACATTTTAAAAAAGGAAAAACAAAATAAATCAAATCCAAGAAAATTAGCCAGGAAGTAAAGGATCCTTTGCACATTTTCAGTGTCTCTGTGGAAATTCCTGTGTTAAGGGGTTTACTCGTTGCTATAATGTTTCCTTATTTCTTTATTAGTTTCTGGCATTTATAGTTTTGTTATAATGGTAAATCTAGGAGTTTCAATTTTTGTAGCAATGTATCAGATCATACAAACTATATCATTCTTCCTCAAAGCTTTGGTTGAAAAAGCTATGGTCATTTGTTGTCATCTTTTATTTCCAAGTTAACACAGAACCCAGGGGCTGTGAAAAAGGAAGTTATTACTAACATGGTTAGGACTGAAAATAGACCCATACTGCCTAGTATTACATGTTATAATGCAGCAAGTTCCTGTTGCCCAAAACTATAGGGGAAATGGTAAATTTCCTTAAGAGGGTGATACACTTCACAACATTCTTTATCCTACTAGTTTTAACAGATTTTTGTTTTCATTTAACATCAATAGAATTTTTGACAAATCTCATTTCAAATGTCAAGCCATAAATCATAGCCTGGCACAAGTAAAGCAGAGTCCTGAAAGAGAAAGCTGTGTTTTGGATTCATGTGGACCAAATCATTGAGATGATTTCGTTAGTTCATTAAGTACATCGTCTAAATATAGAAAATGGTGGAATTTTCAGCAAGAAGTTGAAAAAGAAAAAGGAAGTAAAACACACTTGGGGATGAGACTCGGGATCAATCACCACACTGAAGACCTTGGGAGAGTGACATGCAGCCAAATGTGAGATTTCCTAAGTGAATTGGTCACAAGATGGCATTGGGGAATCAAAATCAGGGTCATGAGCTTAAAGCCAGTCTGGTATATGCTGAGTTTAATACTAGGCAAGCTATATAGGAGGACAAGATAAAATGATCATAGCCAATAAATGTCATTTCCTTATGAATTAAGCTTTAACCATGAATTCATGGTCTTTAGAGAACTGAACTGGTACAAATCACTTTGAACTTGTGTTGAAAAATAGCCATGTTGCATTTTGTGTTTGCAAACTTGGAATACAGGTTGACTAGATAAGCTTGTCCACAAACACACAAAGAAAACAGAAAGTTTATATGTTCCAACCTAGTTCTCAGTAAGAAAATTATAACTGAGGTGCTTGGGGAGGATTCAGTGGTTCAGAGCACCTGTTGATCTTGAGAGGACCCAGGTTTCATTCTCAACACCAACATGGTAGCTCGCAACCATTTGTAACTCCAATTCTAAGAGACCCCGTTCCCTCTTCTGGCCTCTGCAGGCAGCAGGCTTGTTTATATCATACATGCAGGCAAAACACTCATAAAGATAAAATAAAATAAATTTAAAAGATAAAACCTGTATAAAGAAAAATAAATAGAAAACTATTACTGAGCTGAACACATGGGCTTACCCTTCTAGAGTAGAAACTCAGGAAGTAGTACATTGGGCCCAATCAATTTTCTTGGATTCTTAGAAAACAAGGCTTGGAAAGAGGTAACACAAAAGAAATATACTTAACACTACCTTGTCACTGGCAATTCATAGTCAAAGCTAATCCCACCTTAAAAATAATTAAATGTCTAGGCTCAAACAAGCTTGTGGTCCATAACCTTGACTCAACTGTGATTCTCTTATTTTTCCATTTATTGACTAAGCAAATAATAAAAGAAATTGATTCCATTGTAAAATGCACTAAATTAGGATTGCTATTTTCTTGATTACTTTCAGAAAACTTCCCTAAAAATAACTTGTAAATATCAAAGAAAAGGCAGTACTAAAAGTCATTCTATACATAAGGTGACATAAAGAACTTCTCTGAGTGAAACAGACTCAAAGGACAGGCAATTGACCAGGGAAGGATGTTCAATGGCTCAAAGTGCAGAGGCACAAACTTCGTGGGAATAGATATGGGACAATGAAGTTGAGGGTGCATTACAACATCTTTCATAAGTTGTTTGGATGCCTACACTATCAGTGCCATTGCCAATGAAGTACAGTGACTCATCATAGAGGAATGAAGACCAAGACAAGGTTAAATTAATCTGAGTCTGGAATCTTGTCTACAGTATGCTGACAGAGGAAATAGCTTTTTTTATCTAGACTTGGTATTGAAACTATTAGGATTAAATTATATATTAGAGAATCTTTAGTTCAGATATTTTCATCAAGCCATGGGAGAAATAGGATTCTCTATGAAGAGTATAAATAAAGCCAAGAAAGTTCTGAAAACAGGACTTAAACTAGAAATATATTTTAACTGAGCACTAAGAGGATGCCTCACTCTCAGCGGATGCTGTAGGTGGTGAGGAATCATCCAAGGGACCTAGAACAGACCATTTCTAGAGGAAGAGGGAGAGCAAATCATCAAAGCGACCAGACACTAACAGATGAGACAAAGTCTTAAAAGTTTTGAATTTCATGTTAAGGGGTGATAAAAAAAATTTTTTTAGAAGTGGTTTAGGAAGTGGAGAAGGCTCAGTAGTTAAGAGTGCTTGTTTTGTGCACCAGGGATGCATCCTGGTTCCACTGTCAGAGGGGGGAAATGAGATGGGAAGGGGGAAGGGCATGGGAAGGAGGGAGGGAGGGAAGGACAAAGTAGGGGAGGGAGAGGGAACTGGGATCAATATGTAAGAAGAAGTAAAGAAAAAGAGTGCTTGCTGCTCTACCTGGGGATACTAGTTGGGTTCCCCATGGCCATATTTGGAATCTTGCATTCACTTTAAAACCAGCTCCAGGAGATCTGACTGCTCTTCTGGCTGCCAGGAGCATCCATGACCCCCTCTTTTGGCCTTCATGTGCACCCACACACATGTGCATAAGCACACATACACAAAAACTGAAATAAATCTGGATTTAGAAGTGGCTTTTATGTAGTAAAACTTTTACCAGTCAATGAGTAAATGCAAAGTGAGAATGAAGAGCATAATACATCATGTCTAAGAATCTTACACTGCACAGCAACAAGCCAGGATCTCTAAGTATTTCTGTGGTTGGTAGACTTAGAATTCTTTCGGTATAGATCCAAGAATGCTAGTGTTCGGTTGATTTTCAGGTTTTTTTGTTGTTGTTGTTGTTTTTTTTTTTTTTTTTTTTTTTTTTTGAGAATCTTCCATACTGATTTCCACAATAGTTGCCAGTTTACACTTCCACCAACAGTGAATAGGGGTCTTTTCTTCCCCACTTTCTCACCAGTATTTGTTTTCTTAGCAAGAGCCATTCTGACTGATGTGAGATGCAAGACCAATGGATTAGCATTTGTACTTCCTTGATTACTTAAGAATATTAAACACTTTATCAAACAGACAGAGCATGTGGAGGGAGGAAGAGAACAAGGAAGGAGCCCCAGCAGAGTCAAATAAGACTAAAATACAAAGATACATATGTATGAAACCTGTCACAATGAAACCTGTTATATTGTATGATAATTAAAACAATTAAATGAAAATTACATGTTTAAATAGAGAACTATGGGGAAGAGAAAGAATATTTGTTGCAGCCCCCCAATATTTCTGCCACATTATATTGGCCATAATCCTGTCTTTCACTATTGATAGTTTATATTTTAGGAAAATGGCCACCAAACTGTAACACTGCTAACATGTCATTGTTTGTTGTTGTTGCTGTTGCTGTTGTTCAAGCTGCGAGGCTAAGCTCAGAAAATGAGCCCACTTCCCAGACAAATGACTGTGCATATTTAATGCAGCAATGCTTAATTGACAGAAATGGCTGTGAGCAGTCATGGAGATCATTGGAGGACACCTGCATTGTTCCAGGTAAAACAGGTTAAAAGTCCATCCAAATGCATTTTTTCAACCAACATAGCAGGGAGATTTCACATTATCTTACAGAATCCTAGAAGCTAAATTATTTTTTGCTTTAAATATTTCATTTATTCTTGATACTCACTTGACTCACCATCAGTGGACATAGTTATAAAATTGGACTATTAATTATTTAAGGGCCCTTAGAGTGACACTGGAGGTAGCTTTCGGTAAAATTTAAAATCATTACTTTTTTCTCTCACTACAAATACAAAAATTATATGCCTACTTCTCAGAACACGACTAAAATTTTATTTGTACACTTATAATATACTGTGTATACTATTTTCTATTCCTACTGTGTCATGAAGAAATTAAAATATGTTTTAAGGGTTGTCCAGTACAAATGTTTGGAGGGTGGATTGGGATCACAGCAAAGACTGTAGTAACTGCAAGAAAATGTTAGAACTGGGTGGGAGGGGGGAAATAAGAGAATGAAGACTCTGTTGCACCTCAGACTCTGAGAGCAAACTTCTGCTGTTGTGAAGGGTAGCACCCAGAGACCAGGTTACACAGCATCTAGAGAGAGAATGCAGGCAAACAGGACTGCTGGATGCAGAGTCTGGGAGTTTTTGTAGTTGAGAGTGGGGGGGAGGCAGAAGCCATGGCTTTGCCACATTCAGAAACTACTTTTCCAGTTAAAAGTGTCAGATGAGAGATAAATGTAATTTCCCATTTTTTTCAAGTTCTGGGCAAATGTGATGAGGTTAGCTGCTCTCTGCATTCCATGGAACTGGTTTAATAGCCTCCACTTTCTGTTTGTTTGCTTGCTTTGTTGTTGTGGAGAGAGGTGTGTGGGGGGGGGTGCTATTGAGTGACTGGCATTTGCAGAACAGTAACAAAAGTCATCTGAACACAGTCATGTAACTGAACTAACACTGCTGAGAGTACATTCGCATTCACTAAAAGTAGATTGACAGACCCGCTACAGAGTGAAACATTCCCTTGGTGGTGTTATGCCAAAGTTGTTTTAAAAATTATATTCTGCCATTAGGACAAATTTAATTGTCTCTGTATTGTGCCTATTATAGTTAAACATTTCAGGAAAAGAGTGCAAATTGAGAGATTAAAAAGGGAAAATGAAAAATTCGTTAAATCACATAATGTTTCTCCACCTTTCCTACAAATACTGGATAATACCCTGCTAGTGAATGTCACCTACCTTGCACAGAGTGTTCTAGGTGAGAGGCAGTGACCTATAGTCATAACAATGCCAGGGTCTCCATCATCATGGTCCCACAGTATTTTGCAGAGGACTTTTCTGCCCCAGAAAAACAAGAGAAATATCTCCATCCACAGGAGAGTTACAACTATTCAACCCAGTGCTCACACATTTGCTCAGAATAAAGTATTTGTAGATGAGGTCAGAAGATGACAAAAAACATCTTACTTGCTGTGATGATGAAACACCTAGCTATATTTGGCAAGGCAACTTTAAATGTGGTATTAAAATATTGTAGTTAATATGCCATGAAATAAAATTTATTATTTTAGCAAATAAATCTGAGTCATTTGCAATACATTATAATATCTGAGCAATTATTTTGCATATGAAGCAGAGAGAACAATCTCCAAATACACAAATGAAAAATTCAATTAGTTTTTTAATGAAAAAAATATATAGATCAGAGGCAAATTAATTTTTAACCAGAAAATAAAATACTGGTAATTAGAAATGACTTATTTATTCAACATTATTTATAAAATGCTTTCTAAGCCTTGAGGGAACTTTAACTTTTCATAAAAAATTTAGAACCACTTACATGTTTAAAAAGTCACTTCTAGGGTGTTCGACAGCAGACTTCCAGGTATTCTGTCTCATATAGTCGGAGCCAGCATATGTATTCTGCCCTCTCTCACTTGATGCTCCATGAGCCATAGATGCAGGAACTGGGATCTAGACGCATCCACAGGGGCTGTCTGGATTCACCTATCTGCAAGATTTATTGATGTCTGGATTGTATCCAGTTGTGCTTTTCTGTGATGGTATCCATTTACTATAAAGAGTGGCTTCTTGGGACTATAGAGATGGCTCAGCAGTTATGAGCACTGGCTTCTTTCCAGAGAACCTAGATTAGATTCTAAACACACACAGTTGTCTATACCTCCAGTTCCAGGGTATCTGATACCTTCTGTTCTTCATTGGCACCAGGCATGCATGTTGTGCACAGACATTCATGGAGTCAAAACACTCAGGCACCCAAATAAAACAAAGTAAATCTTAAAATAAAGAGGGAAGGAGAACTTCTTTGATGAGAGTTGATAGACTTAGAATGTAGTAGGTCTAGCAAAGTTGTAGTAGTAGATTTTCTTCTAAGATCCATTATCTCATTAGTCAGGGAAAGTTGGCTAGGTGTCTAGTACCAGCCATGATTTCTTTCCTGTTCATTCCAATTAGAAAACTACTGGTTATCCCAACAGGCAAGTGCCACTTACTGCACCTTTATGCATATCTTGCCCAAGTCTTCTTGTGAAACAGTCTCTCACAGAAATGGCTGAATAAACAGGATCTGAACAATGGCAAGATTAATAGACACACTATTGAGGAAAGGAAAAATCTCAGGGGATCATTTCATCTGGAAAAGCAACTACAGGCAACTCATTACTGTTGAGAAAGGGAAAGTTAATCTTTCCTAGGGTTGAGTGGACTAATTGTTTGTCCACAAAGTGTCAGCCCTGAAAGCATATGCACACAAACAATAAAAACAGACTCTTCAGGTAGTATATATATGTACGTATGTATGTATGTATGTATCTTTGCAAACATATACATATCTATTTATTGTCCAATTATCTATCTATGTGTCAACAGTAATAATCAGACAAGAAAGGCTGTCAGGTGTAGGAGGGAGGGGATTTGAGAGCTCAAGGAAGGAAAGGGAAGGGGGAAATTATGTAATTATATTTTGATTAAAATGTATAGAAAGTTTAAATAAATAAATGAATCTGGGGATTCATGCATAGCTCAGTGGTAGGCATTTGCCTTCTATATAAGCAGGCAAATTACAACCCTCTTGGGAGGATGAGAGAGCAAAATAAAATAAGTAAGCTGACCCTAGAAGGTATAGTCAAGTTTCTCTATTTTCTGTTTGATAATTCCTAAGCATTGAAGGAATCATAGTAGTTATACTAGCAACTCCACCCTTGATCCAGATGCTATTATATAAAAATCTCTCAATTGTGGATTGCTTAAAAACAGACCCCAGAATTTATGTATATTCAGCAGATCCTAATTCATTCTGATTCTCTCAGTGTTTGGGGGGGACAAACAATATGAATTTTTTTAGAGATTTCTGGGTAACTTAATTACCAAGGGACAGAGTACTTTGAGTCCTATATATAGGACTATATCAAACTTAATATTCATATATTAAAGTACATCCCATAGACAATAATAATATTTGTTTAGTGTTAGAAGTCTGGAAGACACAAAATCACTTTGATGAACATCCTTTAGCAAACCAAGATAATCTTACTAAACTCATTAATTTCTTGGGTTGATGTATTAAAAGTACTTTGAAAAAGAGAACTATAATGTATATTCAGATCACTGTCTTCGGTGTTATATGTGATTATAAAATCCAGGTGACTCCTGCAAGATAAATAACTCATCATATTGTAAACTGAGTGTCCAGTCTTTGGTGGAAAAAAATTTCCAGTTTAAAGAGTGTCTTTGTATCGATGATCTCCACTGCACAGTGAACAAACTTTTTGGGAAAAAATGCATCAATCAAACAGGTAATATTTGTTGAATCAGTTCTTTATTTCAAAACTATATCCTCCCCAGTCCTTGTGCATTCATTTGTTGTATATTTATAGCATTTAAGTTGCTAATATTTTATTGATATGACTGAGTTAAAGCATGATAATGACACATTTTCTTACATTATTAATTCTGTTATATGTCTAATGCTGACTTTTAAAACCAAATTGGAAAGTACTTTCTTTTCTATACTTTAAAACAGTATAGAAAGAATTGATACTCTTGCTTTGTTCAGTTACTGGTTTAAACAGTACTATGGTTGTACAATTCATCATATGATATATAAAAATATAAATTAGTATGATTGTTATAGAATTGGCCTAGTTTCTGTGTCATGAGTGAGAATTTGTAGTTTGTCTTCCATTCTTTGTATTTTCATTATAGTGTTTGTTTTTCCATGTGACTCTTTATGACTTCTATCTCTGTAGATCTCTGTAATATGGTACTAATAGTATTCTCTGCTTGTCATTTTAATATCTGTAGAAGATGTGTGTGTGTGTGTGTGTGTGCGTGTGTGTGTGTGTATCTGTGTGTCTGTGTCTGTTTGTGTCTGTGTCTGTGTCTTTCTCATATTTGGTGGCGTTCATTCGACTATAAATTGGCCTTGACTTTCAACTTTTTTAATGAAAAAATGGATGGCAAGTGCTCATCTGCGGATGAATCATCTGTAAGCCCCACCCAAATCAAGCTTCAGGGAACACTTAGGAAGAAAAAGTGCAAAGACTGTAAGTGAAGGAGGTTGGGGAGGAGGTGTGAAATGCTGTCCTCTAGACACGGTATGATACAGCTGATGCTCAAGTGAACACATACCAGCCATGGTTGCTTGCACAAGACCCACACAAGATAAAGTCATTTAAACTCCAGCACGGGTGGGAGAGGAGCTTCCAAGGCCCCACCCCTAGCAGAGAGGGAATTGACATTTGATGGCTAATAAGACATGGAGAATCACCTTTGTTCAGAGATATTTGTGCTGGTAGGTTGTCCATGCTCCATGGATGTTTCCAAACCTGTTTCCCAAGTAGCATTATTTTAACTCAGTGGAATAATAATAGTAATAATAAAAAAATAAAGAAAAGGAATTAGTATCTGGAGTGAGACAATTTGGTGGATCTTAGGGGAAGTTGGAGAAACCTGTAGCAGGTGGATATGATCAAAATATGTTTTGAACATGCATTATAATTTCAAGGAATAAATAAAATATAATATTTTATAATTATAATAATAAAACATAATACAAAGATAATAAAAATTGCCTTTGCACTCAGTTTTAGGTCATTTTATACAGAGTCTTGAATGAATTTTTTATTTAATAGTTTACGCAATTCTTTTTCCAAGAGGGAAAAAGCAGGGGACAGTTGTATTTAGATCAAAGCAAAACCAAACTCCCAACAGTGTAACTATCTCAGTGACTGAGTCTGGGATTCATTCACAGTCTTCTGACCTACAAAGGGCATGGAAAACTCTGTATCTGTGGCTCTGCCATCCACAGAACACACAGCTCATCTTGTAGGCTTACTCCAAACATACTGCTATCTTTGGTGGACATCCCATGTCCTAGCATCTCTACATGTTGGGGTTTCCACTGTGGTGCCTCTCTGGAGGGATTTTGACATCAGTACTTGGTGACAAACCTCAGTTTCTTTCCATGATCCCATCAATTCACTTCATCTTAAACTGAACATTTACTAATGGCCTCCTGACTTCTCTGAAAGGATTCCATCATAGCTAGGTGCCAAGCCTCAGCTGCTCCCCCCACCCCTGACTGCTCCATACCTTCAAAACCAGTACATGTGGTAGCCCCTTACACATTACCAAGCACATAAAGAATAAATGGACTTAAATCATCCTTTTACTTCATTCATAGAGGAGTCAACTCTGCCTTCCGATTTAGTGCCAAGGTCAAATGTCACACGAGGGTTCCAGGGGAAAGATACATCTTTAATGGCTGAAAGGAAGGATGACTGTGTCACAGCAGCAGAGACCTGCCAGGAATCTGAGAACTGCTCTCTGCTCCATGAGAACTTTAAGAAAGCCTGTGGCAAAGGAACAGCACAATGCCACACCCTTAGTGGTCAACAGTTGTGTGTGGCCCTAAGAGAGAGTCTGAGAGAGACAGTTTTGTGGGACTGTCAGTGCGGTTCCCCTTTAGAAGGAGACTGTATTCGAATTTGGAAAAGCTTATTTGAAGACATTTGCATACAGGATACGCCAATCAATCAAATTCCTACCTTCAGTCAAGACAACCAAGACAATGAAAATAGATTCAAGGAGGGCATTGCTTCAGGTTGGTACTTAAAAGAATAATTTAGGAATATTAAATAAAATCATAAAAAAGCATTAACTAAAGAATACTTAATTTCTGGTTTATTTGTCATTGCTACCTTGAAAGTTAATATTGACCTTCTCTTGGAAATTAAATGTTTGTAAATCTCTATACAGTGACAGACAAAGGGTATCAGGAAGAATGAATCAATGTGACTTAATTTGCTAGCATATTGACAACTTAAGTTATTCACATATTCATTGATCAAATGCTTAGGAAACATTTACAATGTGTTATATATATAGTGAAAGAAGGAAATCTGTCCTTCATTGGAGAAGATTGCTATATTTTAAAGAAATATTAAAATTAAAAAAAAAAAAACAGCTGTAGAGGCAGGAGGCAGAATCAAGCAGATCTCTATGAGTACAAGGCCAGTCTTGTCTACAGAGTGAGTTTCAGGAAAGCCAAAGCTACATAGTGAGATGCTGTCTCAAAACACCAAATACAAAATACAAAAAAAAAAAAAAAAAAAAAAAAAAAGGAAACAGATAAAACGTGGAGATAGTCATTCATTTAGTGTCTCTACCTTCCTGTGGTAAGTTCTAAGCCCGAGAGCAAATAAACAAAACTGACTGTTCTCTGTGCTCTCTGGGTTCTTGCATTCTCAAGGAAGGAGTTTCTTGTCCCACTTTCCAGAGAAATAGGTTGTAAAGAAGCAGAAGCCAATTTGCATGCACAGTACTGAGATGAATGCTTGGCAGGCAAAGTCATGGGAAGGAACACAGGGTTTGATAGAGATGCTGAAATGCTACAAGAACTTGGTCGCTTGCCCACAGTACTGAACTTGCAGAATTTTCTCCTGTTAAGGTGAGGGACTAACACTTTGTCCTCCTCTTGTGCATCTACAATGAATATGAGTGATGATAGTCCAGGTTAAGTCAGTAACCTTGTGGATCAACACTATGCCTCAGAAAGCACCAGTTAAAGGTGAGCTCTGACTCAACTGTACTCATGACTGCTATGAGACTTTAATGTTGAATGACAGACCAAATATATGTATGTATGTATGTTAGATTATGAATATGCTTATATCCTTGAATCACATGGGAATGCATGAACTAGAGTTGAAGTTGATTCTAAGGTTTTTTATTCGTTTGTTTTATTTTTCTTGAGTCACTAACTCCAAAGACACCACTGTCATTCCTTTCATTAGGCTTTAGTGGAGTGCAGAGGAGATATCCAGATCCAGATGTGTACATTTTGAGTCTGCGATGTTCACTAGATATCCAAATGATGATCTCAAGTCTAAGTATGAAATCTATATTTGATTCCATGTTTGGCATAGGGGCATGAGATTTGCATAGAAGGTGAAAACTGAGAGGAAGAAGAGATCATTATAAGCCTATTGAACTAATCATGATTAACAACCCCCCCCAAAAAAAAGTTTATGGTGTCTTAGACAAGAATGGTAGCAGGGTGAGCTGATGCCAAATTTCCAAGCTGTTGTTTGACGTGGGTCAACAAGAGAAAATGTAGAAGTTGATACAGTCAATAAAAACACCCTCCCTGATTCCACAATGAAAGTCAGCAGCTGTCCACAACAAAGCTGGGAAGGGGGCTAGAGATGAGCCAGACTTCAGGACACTGAACCCCTCTTTTCCCCAAGTGACCCTTTTGGTTCACTTTGAGGATCTTTACATTAAATGTTAGGAAAAATCAGTCTTCTGTTATATTTAATTTGATTTATCATCTTACAGAAAAATATTAACTTATTATAAGCATATTTAATTAGATTATAACATTTAAATCAGATATTTGAAAGCAGTTAGCTCCAGATACATCATGTTAAAGAAGAGAAGACAAATGAGAGTGATTCTGACACAAATTTAGGAAATGTTTTTTAATTTTTGATGTGTTTGCATGTATATAATTTTAAAACTCAACTACAGCTTTGGTTGGTGCATAATTGTTTAGCCCCAGAACAAATTGTCTTTTAACTATCATTCAATAATGAACCTACTGTTGACAATATCCTCTTAGAAAAATACGTGCATACATATACAAATATAACAAACACACATGTGAAATGACATGATGATTGCATTTAATACACAGACATTTTATTGTACTGAATTACATAGGACATGCAAAAATAGCATACCATCTGAAATGAAGTTCAGTTTTTATACTAAAAATAAATATTTTGTTTCTTGGCTGATAACTATTCACACAATGAGTTGGTTGTTCTATGCAGGCTGGGAACAAAGCCCTATAGACTAAATGGTCTGGAGGGAAGAAGCTTTATGTCTCACAGTTTGGAAAGAGAAAGCCCAGATAGTCAAGTCTTCTCCCTTCTCCCTTAGCTTCTTGTCATGTCCTTATGTGGCCCTTTCTTGATGTGTACTAAAGAATGGGTATAGAAGGGGACAGAAGAAGCATATGGTGCTTCTTCTTTAAGAAAAGTTTGCCACCCAATGAGACCCAATGTCCCACCATTATGACCTTATTTGTCCCTCACAGACTCCTTAAAAATACCATATTCACACACACACATATACACTTGGGGTTGGAGCTTTAACATTTATGTTTAAGAAAACAGAGCATAGATATTCAGTCAATAACAATAAAGGGCTTACAAATTGATGGTCAGGGGTAGTTTCTTGAATATGTTTTAGTCTGTAGCACAAAACTTGTTAGTTTGACCAAATACTGGTGTTTGTCTATATTAGTATGTCTGTGTCTGTACTTTAGAAAATTTGAAAGACTCACTGAAATCTGGCTTTTATTTGTTTTTCTATGTTTTGAATTTAATATAGGTATTAAATAAAATTAATGTTATTTTAATTTTAGTACCATGGCAATAGAAGTCAGCTCTTCCTCAGAAAGTCAAGGGCCTGGATCTCAGAAGAAAAGATGCTTCTTTACCCAACTGACAGAAAGATAAAATTATACAGTAACAACAGCTAGAGCAGTGCAGAGTCTGAGGAGTTTCAGACACACAGCATTGAAAAGAACTTGCTTACAGTAGTACAATGTTTGCTTCAGTGGGGTGATGAGCAAGGAGCATAGACAGCCCAACAAGGACAAGTTTAGTCATGAGAGGGTGTTTACATAAGAAAAAAGTTGATTTCTTAGGAACAATTGCAGAATAAGTCTGTTATTGAACCTTATATTTTGTGTTGGCTTTAGTTGTATTTATTTCCTAGGAAGCTGTGGGATATCAGCCGTAAGTACTGCATACTTCTATTTTCTAGTATGCTACCTGGTACCCTGTCAAAACCCAACTAATGCTTGTGGAATGGAAGGTTCTGTCAAGGAAATTTTCTAATTCTACTTTTATTAATCCTAAAATTCTTAGAGACTAAGAGCTAGAAAGAAAACTGTATTTTTACCTGATGTATGTTCCTGTTGGTATGGAAATTTCCTTACCTTTCCTTTTTTTTTTTTTTTTTCTTTTTCTCTTCCTCTCTTCATAAAATCCTTGTGTCCTTTTTTTTCTTCTTTTTCTTTCTTTCTTTCTTCCTTTCTTTCTTTTCTTTTTTCTTTTCACCAAGTATAGGCTTGGTCATTAGCATTAACTTGCATCTTCAAGTAACTGAATCCACAAAACAAGCATTTCTCAATTTACTTGCATGGTTTTTCTTCATCTACCTCTCAATAATTTTAAAGATCAACAATTAAGTGTTTTACATGCTTGTACATATTCGGTTGACTATGCATTCATAGCTTCTAGGAAATTTTGAAAGCTACACAATAGTGAAATAATTTCTTGTTTTCTTTTTAGATAACATGGAAAAGGATAATAAATACAAATGGGATCTGACTACTTTACATCATGGTAATATGTATAAACTACCTTTTCTCCCACAGTATAAATCTGGATGACATGATTTAAATATTATTATCAGAATTCTTAATGATATGCTTATACAAAGTAATCTGTGAACTTTAAATGTTGCAATAAAAAACATGCTGCAAAATGATGACATTCTTTCCAACAAAGAATATGAAAACAACTTTTTGCCTTTCTGGCATCTATTTGTAGATATTTTGAAACGTATTCGTACATTGAAATAAATAGTTGCATAAATTTTGAGTATATTTTGATGATACAAGCCAACTGTTTGTGTATGCCTGTAGTGATGGCAGAGGTAACAATCCATATACATACATACATACATACATACATACATACATACATACAAAATACATATATTCATCAGAATATGAGCATCTTTATAGGCAGCAATTACTGTGTAGCACCTTTGTTCAGAGTTTCTTATCCATCCCTAATTAACTGTGACAGAATAATGATTTTGACTCATGACCATGAGCTCACAATAAGTTACATTGTTCAAATTCTATTTCTGAAGATTTGTTACTTGTTTTTAAGAAACTTAGAGTCAGATACTTTTTCCCTTAAGTTTCATTTTGGTCCTCTGCATTCCCCACCAGTCTGTATCACCACACATAGTACTGATGAAAGATGATTCAAATGTTGCACCCTCAAGCATCACTAAATTTATAATTTTAAAGAAATCGTAGCACCCTGATACACTTTTTTTACTCAGCTTATTGAATTCCCAGAGTTTTATTTGCAGAGTCTATAGATACAACCTTATGCTTATTTTTCTATGACCTGGGAATTTTATTGCTTTCAGGATTCAGACAGATGCAGTCTTGTTTGGAAGTGACAGAAGCATGCGTAGGGGATGTGGTTTGTAATGCACAATTGGCCCTTTACCTTAAAGCATGCTCAGCAAATGGAAATCTGTGTGATGTGAAACATTGCCAAGCAGCCATACGGTTCTTCTATCAAAATATGCCTTTTAACACTGCCCAGATGTTGGCTTTTTGTGACTGTGCTCAATCTGATATACCCTGTCAGCAGTCCAAAGAAACTCTTCACAGCAAGCCATGTGCACTGAACATAGTTCCACCCCCCACTTGCCTCAGTGTAATTCACACTTGCCGAAATGATGAATTATGCAGGTGAGTAAAAACACACATACCTTGCTTTCTTATTTCGGCACCTTATTTATTATAGTCCAGTCCTAACATTTGATCTCCTTCCATTGCTGGAGTTCCCACCATCATCCAAAAGGGTGTAAATAAAGCCAGACAATTCCCATTGTGAATCTGTGGTACATGTGTGGTATCCTTTTTGAAATTCAAATGTAAAATGCAGAATAGGCGTTTACATTGGAGAAATGCCCTATGTTGAACTTGATGGACTGTATATCATTCTTTAAAGATCATATTTGTCATGTGAGTGTGCATGCACACACACATGCATGCATGAGCATGTAAGTACATGCAGCCTACAATTTTCTTGAGTTGGTTATCTTCTTTTACCATGTGGGGCCTACAGTCTGTCAGGCTTTTTGAAACTGTCTTCCAAGCCTCATCTGTCTCACATCTGTTCCATAATCAGCTTCCTAATTAATTAGCCTTTTATCCATGCGATTACAGAATTTTTGTTGTTGTTTGGGTTTTGATTGTTTTAGATAAGGCCTTCCTCTCTATACTAGGCTAGCCTTGAGTCGATAATCCTTCTGCCTCAGCCTCTGGAGTTCTTGGTTACTAGGTTGCCAGTAACCCATGTGGTCCCTGTTGAAAAAATGCTGTTAATTTTGCCAAGGTGACTCTTCAAACTTTAGAACAAATGCTTTCTTTCTCAGCCTGTGGGAACAAGGTACTTCTGAGTACGGTGTGGGTATGCCCAGCACAGCTGTGTGCTCCATGTCGGAAATGTATTCCATTCCCCTCTTCCCATCCTCACTCGGTGTGTAGTGAAGAAAAGAAAAGCCAGTTGTTGATTCGTTCTTTCAAATTATACATGAATCAGGCACCTATCTAGGCGCCAGTTAGGCAGGTCTGTCTTACTGCTTACTAGAGTCAGAGGAGACAGTTAATAAGAAAATGTGTACCATATAAAGTTATGAGTGATTTCCAGGTGAAGAGAGGTTGAAAGCAGGAAAACAATACAGTCTAGAGGTCAAGGAAAATCTTGAGCCCAACAGGTAGCAGCAGGGAAATCGCAAGCACCACAGACAGAAATTGCCATTAAGGAAAGGTTATTGGGGATAAGGAAGCACACACAGGCAGCAGGCGGGGGGGGGGGGGGGGGAGACCCTAGGCAAAGCGGAGGAGGGGCTCTGGATGCTGAAAACTTCCAATCTCTTCTTGAGGGCTGGGTTTAAAAAAAAAAAAAAAAAACCTCTAAAAAAGTTTTCTGCTCTTAATTTAGAGTTGGTCAGTTTGAAGAAGCCAGCCATCTTGGAAATTTACCATGGCCTGTCTGCCTGTCTGTCTGTCTACCAAGGAGTCTAACTCGTATTCTTTCAAAAGGGAAGGGGGAAATGTCGTAATTAAATTATAGTCCCAAAAGAAAACCAAAAAAGCCTAAGAAGTAGACTGAAAAAGTTGTAACTTAAGGAAGAAATTGTGAAATCTCTTTTGATGAGACATGCCCCCACAGCCTTTAGTTCTTGCTGTCCAAGAGAAAAAAAAATCTCAAATTATTTCTGTAAATACTATTTGGTATAATTAGGAGAGTGGACAAAGAATAAAGCGCATCCCAATATGTAGAAAATCTGGATTGGAGGTGCATTTATTTGAATTTTCCTGGTGTGGGACAGTGTCTAAATGTTAGCTCCAAAATCATATGAGGCTTAAAAGTTTTTCAATAAATCTATTGTGGAGCAGTGCAAATCATCACCATGGTGATAAAAATAGAAATGAAGGAAACTCTCATGAAAGGACAGTAATTTTCATAGTCCCACTGTTTATTTTCTTTCTCCATACTACCTATAGTGACATTTAAAGTACAAAGTTAGCTTTCTACTGGGACCATGCCAGTGTTTCACTAGGTGGGAGATAATCACATATTATCATGAAATCACTCTAATCATAGGCTGATTCCAGCCCCTCAATCTTTTCCTAGGACACACTATCGAACATTCCAGTCAGAATGCTGGCCCCGTGTGACAGGAAAGTGCCAAGAGGACGAGGCCTGCATCAGCACACTAAGCAAGCAAGACCTTACATGTTCTGGGAGTGACAGCTGCAGGGTCGCCTACCTGGGAACCTTTGGGACAGTCCTCCAAGTGCCATGTGCTTGCAGGAGCATCACACAGAACGAAGAACCTTTGTGCATGACTTTCCAGCACATGCTTCGGAGCAAATCGTGTTTCAGTAAGTTATCCAATTAAAAGATTGCTTATCTACTTACCTACATACATATCTATCTTGTTTTCTACTATACCAAAAAAAAAAAAAAAAAAAAAAATGGCAATCCAGGCAACCACCACCATAATCCTCATAAAGACAATTTGTATTTACTATTTTGGTTGTGTTCTGGTTTTGCTTTTTTTCTCATTTATCAGAAAGTGATATACTTTTTAAGTTGATAAGTTACTACTGATTATCATTTATTGATTTCAATATGAAAAGCATGAAAGGAATTGTTTACGTGCTGAAAGCATTCATTATTCACAGTTATGTAACACCAAATTAGCTACAAATATTAATCCTCAAATCATTAACCATTTAATGACTTACCTGAACAGTTTTATACATTAGCCTTGGGTGCATTGTACTGACACTTTTGTCTGGATATGATCATGTATTGATAATACCGCATGGTTCTACTGAGACTGGTATTTAGCAAACACTGCTGGCTAGGACCGCAAGTTCTGCTCTAGTGTTCCCTTTAACAATATAGCTGGAGACTGCTATATGGTACAATGGAACTGCTGGTGACTACAACCAAATATACAGGTATTTATCAAGTATCTTCTACTGTCACACTGTAAATAGAGCAGTGAACAAAGCAAGTCAGATGCTAATCTCAGAAAGACTGAGGGAACAAACTACAAAAGGTTGTGTGTGGATAATCAAGTTAGGCTCAACAGGGTTTATTGATTGTAAAACTCTATGATTTAAGCTCTCCTGCCTGTGAGGAATCTTTCCTTTGTATTATTTTTCTTCCCCCTTGGACTTAGCAAACTTTCAGAGCAACCTCTAGTGATAAGATGGAATATAAATTTTATATATATATATATATATATATATATATATATATATATATATATATATAGAGAGAGAGAGAGAGAGAGAGAGTGTTAACCTTCAGTGTAGGGAAAAGAACACCGAAATTTATGCCAAGGCCTTAGTTAGGGTTGAGTACTCTGGCATCATATCCCTCTCATGAGATTCCCAAATTGTTTTGTGAAAACAGCTCATAAGACATACCAGAGGAGTGTGCAGCTTCAGCTCATGTGTGTTTCTGTATGCTGTCATTCCCCTTGCCAGTGACAGTGACACTGTCTCTACCAGGTGCCCTTAGCCTTGCACCTGTCTAGTCCACAGAAGTTGCCTGTGTTTGTTGTTGATGTGCCTTGCCCTCTTACACACTGATCTATGCACTGGATTTAATGGGACTTTTGTGCCACTGCTCAGTCTTATCTCTTACTCATGGCCTAGAGTCAACTTTACTCAATATTAGAGAGTTCACATTTTAATCACTCTTCTCTCTGTTTGAAAAGCTAATGTGTTCTTATCTCAAGTCACCATTTTTATTGGAAAATCTCACACAATACTAATGCAAAATGGTCAATTTATAATGTCATCCATGCTGTGTAGTAAAACATCCTCTCCGAACAATGGGTTGTTTAGTTGTTGAATTTCCCTTTCTTGTACAGAATTACAGGTCTCTGTAGAATATGAAGGCTGTCTGTCTTCCCAGACTCCAGTAGGCATTTCCCACCTTCCTGACTGTTCTATATTCCTACATATTTCAGGTTTATACTGTGGCAATGTACTTCTTCAATCTGCCTATTTTTATACAGGTGCCTACATAACCACCACCTTTGACTCATAATACCAATACCAAATATCAGTAGATTAATACAAGGTTTAATTTCTCATCAACATAAAATTACTATGAAGAGAACAGTTGGGAAGATTATTGAAATTCAGATGTTACCTAGCTATTCCTACTAGGTGGCTGAATTCTCTTCTGAGTTCATAGAATCCATTCAACACATCCATCTTGCTAATGAAGAATGCAAGAATTGCTTTGGATACTTTGGTAGGTCAGTTCTAAGTAACTTGTACATCACTTTTACTTTCACTTATCTTCAAGGAAAGCTGGAAAACAGTTCACATCTGTGCTTGGTATGAAGGGAAAAGTACTTTGGTGCATATATAACCAATCTCTGCCACTGTATCTCCAACAAAATATAATTGTCTCCCAAATACTGATCCAATGTATTTACTATTATGCTGGGAAGTACAAATTTATGTTTGAATATGTCTGCCACATATGGCAGAATACAAAGCATAGAGCAATAGATTATGGGTAATAGTTTATTACTTGTGAAGAACTGGAAGAGTCAATATTCTGCACAAATATATTATGTGTAGTTTTCTTACTAAAACTTTCTCCTTTTGGATCTCTCTACAATGCTGTGTATAAAGATCATGAGACTATGTCATCTTTTCCAGTATAGCAACACACTTTGCATGTGCATAGGGCTGTTGAAAAGAGACCCTGCAGACTTACATTGTATAACCCATTAACTTTACTTTGTTACGGGTGACACTCTTTTATGGAGGATAGAGTCTCCCAGAGAAGTCTGCCCATTTTTCACCACTAGTTTGTACTCTCTCACATGATATTCCCCCCTCACTTCTATGTTTATAAATTTCCATATTTGTCCTTTCATCTCATTGACCTAGAAATTAATCTTCTAGCTACTTCTCTTTCCAGACAAAGCAAAATTGATCACCATGCATGTCCTGCCAGCAGGAAGCACTTCTCTTTCACACTGCTCTCTAGGTCCACCTCTGTTTTTGTGGTGTGTGGAAGATGTCCACAGACCATGAGCACTGACACACTATTGCTCTCACTTTTCCTAGAATGGGGTGCCTAACTGGCCTAATAATATCCAACAGGAGATGTATTTACAACAGTGAACATGCTATGTGTATGGTGTGACCTTGTTCCACAACACAAGAGATGTGTCATGTAGTTATCCTAGAAGAATTTACCAGAGACTGTACACCACACTGAGAAAGAAATGCAGTGTATCAAATGACTATCATATAGTGAGTAATGCATGCCTTCTAAACACACTACTTTAAAGACTATTGTTTGCATTTAGAATTTAAAACAAGTTCATTAATTGGACTTCCAGGGTTTTCTTTCTGGATTTTCCTTTTCATATTTCACAAAGACTATGCACATTTTCAAGATTTTCTATTAAATGTTTGCAGAAGTTTCCCCCAATTTATGTGGAATAATTATTTTGTTATAATGAAGACTCTGATAGCCACAAACACAGCTCCAAGCTAAGGGGAATTAACAAACATTGAACTTTTGGTTCTCACACTTGAAACATCCTCAGAAATATTTATAGAATTTCTAATATAAAACCAGTCTCATCCAGATGACTCTTATTGTAGCCAAACTTGGGAGCCACTGTTCTTACCCACATGTGGGAAAACTTCAGTCTCCAGTGTTAGCTCTCAGAACCTCTTTTATACTCAGAAGCATCTCTGGGAATAAAAAAAAGGTCAGTATGGAAAAAAGGCAAATCCCCCCCCCCAGACAACTATGGATACACAATAGTCACTCTAACAACAAATAAAGAGGGAACCATAGAAGAGGGAACAAAGCAGTATATAATCTATCTAGGTGGCAGTCCTATACTTGAATGCAATTAATTTTACCCTTGTTAGAATCTTCAAATATCAATTCTTTCCCATTAAAAGCCTTGATCTTTTATGTTTTGTCTTAAGCTAGAATTTTTTAATTCAAAATTTTAAGCAAAAGAACCAAGTGTTAACAAGTGCAGGCTGCAGCCATTCACTGGAATACAAACACTTGCTCTCTTTGTTTCCTAAAACTTTTTTCCATGCTGATTTGTTTCTCTAAGTTCTAAGGCGTGTCTATTTCAAGTCAATACTTGGGATCAAGTCAGCACTGCAGATAAGCCACTATGCTCTTGCAGTTATGTTCTTAAATGTGCATATCACCTAATCTGCCTGTTTTGGCTGTATCTACCTGAAAAGATAGACATGGAAGATTGTTTTCAATAGATATTTCCATCCAGCTGACTTTCATGAAATATTGGATGCTTATGTATTAAGTGGATAGTCTTAAGTTTTAAAGGACCATTTTGGCTATCCCATGCTCTAGCATTTAGTTCCATTTTATAGCCCCATTTCTTCATTGCCATAGACATTAAGGTGCTTGTAAAACCGTTTTATTTATCATGTTTGTCTGTATTAAATAAATAGAAGATTTAATCTTGCCTGACAGCATCTGTCTGACTCTTTCCCTGTGAAGGTATGGATCCAGAATCCCATTCCATCAGTCAGTGCATTCAGAGATAGTCTTTTAAACCCACCTATGTATGTGGGATGCTGTGGAGCATGAAATTACACATTTTTCTGTACTCATTCAAATTTGTTCATTTTAAGAACAATAAAGACTGTGAAGATGAATTAATACAGGATCAAACTTATCTTTTAAAATGGCTATCTTAATGTTTAGTGTCATGAAATCAATGCCTGGCTAAGAAGGAAGATTATACATTAGAAATAAAATAATGAGTAAAGTGAACTGTGAAAGGCATTCCCATTCAATCCTATCTGTCACTGACTTTATCTTCCTTCTATCCTTCACATACACACACACACACACACACACACACACACGCGCGCACGCACGCACGCACGCGCGTGCACGCACACACACACACACACACACACACACACACACACACACCAATTTCTTATAGCCAAATCATAAGGCACTGTTCCAGGAACTTTATGTTAAGTTCTGTCTTTAAATAAACCACTTGGACAAGCCAAAACCACTGACTTTTTCTTGGTGTCTACACAAAACCCTAATTCAAGTTTAGTTTCCTTCAAATTCAGTCCAGGTGCTAAAATAGTCTTCTGGTTTTCAAGGAACATTCAACAGACTTTCTCTAGTCTATATTCATATTTATTATGTAGTTGCTAAGCATTCAAATATGTTGTATTTTCTGGATTAAAGTGGCTCCATGGTGAATTTGTAGGTCATCAAATTCATAGACACTCACTTATAAATTTATGTTTTTCCCTTTAGAACTCTGTGATTATCCCTCTAGGATCTTGTTTTCATTATTTGAAAAAATTTTTGT